AATTCAAAGTGTACAGAAACAAAACAATACACTTTCCGCTGTTTAACAACAGATCACACACCAGTATATAATATATTGTCCACTCGTAGTTCCAGTTAAATACTTTCTGTTTCTGTCTGTGTGCAGCTACCTGAGCTTCCGTCTGCTGGGCAGTGCGCTGCCTCTCCTGTCTGTGGCCCAGCTGAAGGAGGTGTTGTCTGGAGACGTGATGATGCACTACGGGGAACATGTAGTGTCTGCTCAGGTCAGTAGGTCATAATGGTTATTTATGTTATTGATGGCGGTCTATGACGGACAAACACAGAGTTGGTTACCTTAAATTCTCCTTAAAATAGTGGCCTCAGTGGATTTTATTTCGAATTCCTGTATTTCCCAGTTAATATAAACTTTAAAATTTAGTGTAATGTCCATTTCCACTAATTCCATTTGTACAGCAAATGTCATGTCTTTTTCCCTCACTGAATTTTCACATTAAAAGTCTTGCAGCATCCCCTTTAGGTAGACTTTTAATGTGAAAAAATATCAGGAAATTTGTTGACAGAAGCTTAATATTGATGAGGAGAACAGCAGAAAGGTGAGCGTGATATCACTCTGATGTTATAGCGACCATCAACCTTTGTCTCCATTTCTCTCTGCTGATTTCCTGTCATCTCCCCAGTTTGCTATCAAATAAAACATAAAACCCCATCACAGCAGTGAAATCCAAGGAAAAAAAAACATTATTATTAATTATTATTAACTGTTATTAAAGCCATGACTCGTTAAAAAGTTAGCAAAAACTTCCAGTACATTGCAGGGAGTTTGGTTTGCTGAGGTCAGTGTTTCATTTAGGAAAGTAACTGGTCATATTTGCCACCGTTCTTTTTATTTTTCCAGTTTTGTAGAACTACTGTCAGTATTGGACAAAATTAGATGAAACCGTCACTTAGTGCAACTATAACAGTAGTATATTTAATTGAGTTAGTCATATTTGTTATTTTACCTTCCTTATCAGTCAGTATTATTTTTTCCGCTCCCTGTGTGTAAGAAGAACTGACTTTACCTGCTCCATAATTTTTCTCTCCCAGAAACCGGACCGCTTCAAGCTGGCCCCAGAAATGGACGTCTACGTGTCGGACTTCTTGGAGGGCTGCCAGGACCCCGACAGACAGCTGGCAGTGATGGTGGGCTTCTCCTCGCTGACCAACCAGGGCTACCCCGTGGTGCCGTCGGTGTGGAGGGTGGTGCAGCACCTTCAGCCCGCAGCGCTGCAGCAGTACGTGGACTGGCTGAAGAAGATGTTCCTGCAGCCTCAGATGGACCAGCTGCTGGACTTCAGCACCCGCAAGCAGAAGGACAATCCGGAAGGACGGGAACAGTGAGTGGACACGCCTGTTTGTGTGTTTATGTGTGAAGATCTCTGGTAGCTCGGAACAGGAAGACGAGGGACGGAAGTCTAACTGTTGATTGTTGTTACTCAGGAAAGAGAACGCCATATTCCGCCTGAGGAAGTGGATTATCGCTCGGCTCTCGTCGATCATTGACAACCACCAGGTGAAGAGGCAGGAGGATCTGATCATGGACGTGGCCAGGTGAGACCCGCCTATAGCAGAGCGATGTTGAGGTCTCTGTGTTTGATGAAGGAGACGGCCGTCAACTGGTGTTGTTTCTGTTCCAGGTTCGTGTTTTTCCACGCTTTCTTCAGTGCCAAGAAGGCGTCGGCCGACATCCCAGAGACGGCGGGGAAGCTTTCTGTCCCGCTGGACGACAAAACCAAAGGAGTGCTCGTCAATTCTTTCTTTGGGTGAGAATCTATGATCACAGCCAGCGGGGATTACTCCTCTCAGCTTTGGTTAAAAAAAGTTTAAAGATGACGGAGGCTGGTCAGGATTTTGATTCTTTACAGAGTTTTGGTCGAAAGTGGAGCTCTATGTCACAGAGGAATATCAGAATATCAGGCCACATATAGGTGGTTAGCATGCTAACTTCACTATATATATATATATATCTTTTTCAACATAGACAGATTTGAACCCAGGAAATGAAGATGGGTCAGACAGTTTCAGCAACATTTACAGGGAACATTTTTTATCATACAAGTTTTAATTTTGTCAGTATTAATCACCTCATTCAGCCTTTTCTTCTCTGCCAAGATCCAGGATAGACAAAGGGAAGCTCCTGTAGCTTTATCTTGGTCCTTAATACCATATATTTGGTCTTTGCAGCTTCAGTGAGAATGGCCTTCAAATATTCAAAGCTTCCACAATACCTAAATACACCTAAATAAAGAGTATGTGAGAAACACTACAGGCTTTAAACCACCTTTAACACAACATTCACAACAGCCCAAACAAACAGACCAGAGTTTGTTTTAACCCAACAGTTTTAGGTTTGTAAAGAGTCTGTAACTGATGCTGCAGATTTCAGTCTGGAAAACAGCGCTAGAAAACAACAAAAAGACCAATCTGACATCAAAATGTAACGTGAGCCAGACTGGGACCCTGTTTGTGGTCTCTGCTGCGTCACTGATCGTCTGTCTGTCTTCCCTGCAGACTCCTCCTGTCCATGCACCACCTGCCTCTGATCGAGGACACGGCCGAAGGCGCCGCGGTCAACCAGAAGCGGCCGCTGGGTGTAACCTCCGACGGCACCATGTGGATCTACCACCTGGTCCAGTACGCCCAAGTCCTGCTTAACCAGCCAAAACACGTCCAGAGCAGCCAGCCCTTCAGCCCCGAGCAGAAACAGGCCTGGGACTGGTAGGAACTACTTAATTATCTGCTAATGGAGGTAGAATATTGCAGCCATGCATATATCTGTACAGGTTTATAGGACCAACTTATTTTCATTGTGTAATTACGACACCTTACACCAGTGAATCTGTTTTACTACTGAAGGAGGTGGTTTTATAGCTCTACCTGTGTTCTTCCAGCATGTTGGAGTCGGTCTCAAAGCTGAAGAAGAAGGCGAAGAAAGGCCCAAATGCAGAGAGCACCGCGTTCCAGCAGCTCTTCCTGTTGGTCGGCATGCACCTGTTCAAGGTACAGAACACTGCCAGAGCCTCGAGATACAGCACTGCCTTGTTGTCGCATTGTTAATCTGCTCACACACACAGTTAAAACACTGGCATAGAAAGGAGATAAATCACTGACTCTGAACTCGTATTTGTCCACAAAGGCCCCCGAGGAGCTGCTGGACATCATGAAGGACCTGCAGAGCTGTGTGGACAAAGCTCAGGAAAAGAAGGCCAAGAAGAAGAAGACGACGAAAAAGAAACAAGGTGATTAAGACGCTGCCACCATCTTTCTTTTACATTTTAATGTTGCACTGCGCAGGGTTTATTTGTACTGATCTAAATCACAAAGTTGGTTTGCAGAGGAGACAAGGATGTTGTCCTCTAACTGAGATGTGGTCTTTTTTGACCCAGATAATAGGCACATCCAGAGTAACGGCTGAATGCTGCTTTAAAGTGTGTGTGAATGTGTGTGTGTGTGTTTGCTGCAGCCACAGACGAGGAGGAGGAGCCTGAGTGGGTGGAGGTGATGGTGGACATCTTGTTGTCCCTGCTGTCCCAGCCAAGCCGACATATCAGACAGGTCTGCAGAACGGTCTTCTCCTCCATCTGCCCACACGTTACCGCGGCGGCCCTCACCGCCATCTTAGACGTAAGTAACACACACACACACACACACACGCACACACACACAGAGGGTTGTTCTGTGTCACTCTCTGCACCTTTTTGTCCCTGATGCTCTTTCAGCCACATCTGGTGGTGTTTATCAGTAGACGGGAGATTGTTTAGTTCTCAACACATGTCCTAAGTATGTGTCATGTAATAAAAGGTAGAACATAACAGGTAACACCTCATTTGATTCGTTTTGTTGACTTTGTGTAAACACAGAAACCAGACTCCCTCCTATTAATGACCAAAACTGGGGCGACATGTGTACCACTGGAAGATTTGTATGTGATTGTAACGATGGGGTTTGGGGTTTTGGGGGTCTGTGTAGGTCCTGGACCCAGAGAAGGATGATGAGGAGGACAGCGCTGTGGTCGTCACTGACGACAACAAAACCCAGAAGAAACCAGATGAGGAAGATGATGAGGATCACGATGAGGAGATGGAGGTCAGTTCTTATCGTTATCTTATTGATCCTTTTATTCACTGATCAATAAATATAGCATCTGTTTTTGTTTTAGAAGAAAGATTTGACACTGAAATTGTTTGGTTCTGCCAGGAGGACGAGTCTGACGGATCTGACGATGAGGAAGATGAGGATGAAGATAATGAAGATGATGATGATGAAGATGATGAAGCAATGGAGGAGGAAGAGGTGGGAGAGGTGGACCAGAGTTTCCGTTTGGAGCTGATGAAGGTCCTGCAGCAGCAGAATGCTCTGGTGGGTTTAAAATATAAAATGACCACATGGTATTTAAATTAAATACTCAACAAATAAAAGGTAATAACTCATGTTTGAGGGGTTGAGTTGCTCTTTAACGTCCTCTGTTGTTGTGTACCGTGTTCAGGCCACTGAGGAGGACGCCAGCGATGATGAAGACCTGGATGATGAAGCCATGATGGAGCTGGATAAAGGCCTGGCAGCGCTGTTCTCAGAGCAGAAGAAGAAGAGTCAGGCCAAGAAGGACGAAAAGGCCAAACTGCAGAAGGAGAAGACGCTGGTCCGGGACTTTAAGATCAAGGTACCGGATCCTCAGAGTGTCGTCTGGTACAGGAGTCAGATCAGAACACTGGTATCAGTTTCATCTGTGTGTGTTTAGCCTAGCTTAGCACGAAGACTAG